TCTGAGGATGTAGCTGAGTGTGAAGGCCCTAGGTTCTCAGTACTGCCCCTTACCCCTAAAAAGGTAAATCAATTTTCTCTGCTCAAAAAATATGCTCTCCACCTGTCTCAACTAAAAGCAAAATCCAAGAGTCTTCACAACAATCCAGGAGGATCCCACTGTCTTGCTTAGACTACTTAAGCCACTCTGGCTTCAGTAATCAGACACAGTCGTCCCCCGGTGCCTTTGCACTATGGTTCCCCCATGTCTGGAACTCTCTGTTCATGGATAATCACATGGCTCACAGCTTCATCTCTTTCAAGTTTTTGCTGAACAAATGCACCACCTCAACGAAGCCTTGCTGCCTTGCCCTCCTTCACTATTTGCTTCATATCATAGCTCCTGTCTAGATGTTCTCCTAAAGCCTCATGAGGTTACAGCTGGGGCTTTTCAGAAGTGGCTGGATCTAGAGTGTGTGACGCTGCAACTTATGAATACTAAATTAGTCTACTGATGGGTCTGGCATAGTTCTGGCTGTGGATAATGGGAAGGCCCACCCTTGGTGTGAGTGCTGCCCACCCTAAGGGCATATAGCCTGGATAGAATATGAGGAACAGAAAGAGGGCTGCTGCCATGGCTTGCCACTTGCTGCTTGCTACTTCACTACTTCGCTGCCTTCCTGCCTTCTGTCCCCATGACCTGTTTCTCCCCTGCAGTGTCCCTTGGTAATGACATCCTACCTTGGAGTCAGCCAGTTCTGAACTGAAACCTCCACAAATTGTTAAAATGAAATTTTTCCTCCTTTAATTTTGAGTGTTGGGTATTTTGTCTCAGTAAGGAGAAAACTAAGGTACCTTACGAGACTGAGTTGTAGAAGTCTGGTGACAGGGATGATTAAAAGAATTTACCAAAACCAAATAAAGATAGAGAATTTATATAGATCAGAGTACACTGTCAAAAGGGACAGCGGCAGGACAAAGGCAGATTTGTACCAGGAGGAGGGGTCATGGTATTTTTAAAGGGTAAAGTGACAGAGGGAGAAGAAATGTCACAGAGGATAGGAACAAGTGCCTGGACCCCAAGACATGAGGAGTGTTAGGGATGATGAACTTCCAGGTTGCCAAACAGCTCTTCTGGGCACAGAGTACTGGACTTTGATGTAGGGTCAAATGGAAGCCCAAATAGGTTTTTTTCTGGTTACATAGCACTGTGTGCTCTTGTTTTCTATCCATCAACCTCTAGAACATTGTAATAGTTAGAAATTGATTTTGTTTATTATCGATCTCCTTTGGAAAGAAGTTCTAGATGGCCAAATGTCTTCTTTGTTTTACCCCCAGTGCACAAGGACAGGGCCAGTACACATTAGGCACTCAGCTACTGCCATACATTTTATACTATCATGCTATGAAATCTCTTAATTATTACTGAATTCTGAATATTTTATATTACCAATATGATGTAAGTTTTAAACAATTTAAAAATGGATTTTTGTCCCAGCACTCTGGAAAACTAAGGCAGGTGGATCCCAAGTTTGAGCCCAGCCTGGGCAGCTGTGTGACTTAGCAATACCTTATCCAAAATAAAAAACAAAAAGGGCTAGGATGTAGTTCAGTGCAAAGGCCCTATGTTCAGTCCCTGGTATTGCCAAAACATGCTTAAATAAAGAAGAATCTCTAGGAAACATATAACCTGCAAGAAACAGCAATGTAATATTTTCACTAACCTGAGAAAATTATCCTGTATCTTTGAAGGCCTTTTAGCATCTTCCCCTTTAGAGGGGCTATCATCCTGAATTTTATATTTACCATTCTCTTGAAGTTTAGCTTAAATATTATGCTTTTTGTTTGCCCATATTTTTTATGTTGTGTTGTATACAGCTGTAGCTAACTCATTTTCACTACTGTTACAAAGAGTTTCTTCTGCAATTCAAAGGTGTAAAGATCACGTATACCTTTCGAATATGTAGTGTGCCTTTAAAGTTCAAGTCTTTTAGCTCCCTGAAATCGTGTGAAATAGTGAGAGGTCTAATTTCAATTTTTTCATATGTATAATTATCTTATTAGAATTTCTTGAAAAGACTCTCCAATACCATTGTATCAGTTACTTTTCTCATTGCTTAGACAAAATACCCAACATTTAAAGTTGAAGGAAGTAAGGTTTATTTTGGCCCACAGTTTGTGGAGGTTTCAATCTATAATCAGCTGGCTCCAAGGCAGGGTGGCCTGGCACAGGGCCATCACACAGGAGAGATAGTTCATGGCAGGCAGAAGACAGAAGGCAGCAAGGCACCAAGCTATAAAGGACAGTAGCAGCTTTTCTCTACCCTTTTATATTCCATCTAGGGTGGTTGGTTAGGGTGAGAAGTACTCAGACCCAGAACACTGTCAAACTAATCAGTGGGCTAAATTAGTAATCATGCACCGTTAATCACAGCATCGCACCATGAATCAATCCCAGTGTCATGTCTGTGATCCCAGCAACACAAACCCTAGATCCAGCCACCTCCAAGAGCCCCACCTATGACCCCAGGAAGCTTTGGGGTAACATCTAGGTGCAAGCTACAGCAACGATAGATTTTTAATGCCAGCACTGTTATATATCAAATTCCTATAAATATATGGGTCTTTTCCTGAATTCTCTTTTTTATTGGTGTATTTATTTCTGTGCTAACGGGATGCAACCTTAATTAAAACTGCCCACTTTTATTCTTTACAAGTGTCCCTACTATTGTTAATCCTTTTGTTTCTTGCACATAAAATATAGGAGTTTTTTTTTTTTTTCCACAAAAAAAAAAAAATCAGGATTTTGACTGCCATTGCACTGAGAGTCTTTAGATTACCAAGTAAATAAAAAAAGTAAAATTTACAATATTGAGTTTTCCTACTCAGGTACCTGACATCTCTCAATTTTTAGAATTCTTTTACAAGTCAATAAAATTTTGTCATTTTCATTAGAAAGGTCTTCACATTACTTAGGTAATTTATATTCTGATGCTTTAGTTAAGTATAGCTTTTTGAATATTGTATTTCAAATGTTTTTTTGCTAAAGAATAAAAATGTAATTGATTAGTATACTAGTTTCATAAACAATTATTACTTGTATAGGTTACTGGTCCTTTATGAGTCAATTAATTTCTAAAATATGTATTTGCTAGCTATCTTTTGTTAAACTTTCAAAACTTATGCTCTCAAAATGCTTTTTTTTTTTTAAAAAAAAAAAAGCAAGATGCTTCAAGATATTTGAGGCTTTTTGTGAATTAATGTGTTTTCAATTTTTATACTTTCTTTTCTTTTCTTTCTTTTTTTTTTTTTTTGTATTTTAGGGAAGGGTCTACATGGTGTTCAGGGTCTCACTACTATATTGGATTCATAGTGATTCTCCTGTTTACAGCCTCCCAAGAGCTGGGATTACCAGCACAAGCCACCATATCCAATCTCAGTTGCCTTCTCACCGTGCCACCACGCCCAGTCTCAATTGCCCTCTCAGCATGCCCCAGGGGCCAGGAATTGAACCCTGGCCCTTGCGCCTGCTTGCAGGCTTTTTAATCTGCTGAGCTATATGGCCGGCCCTTTATACACTTTTTCATGTGTCCTGAAAATACATGTTTTCTCTATGTGATTTCAAGAAGTATTTTTTTTGTCACAACTAATCTCATTTATTAAGCTGAATGCTTAATTTAGAACTAAGTATCTTTCACTTTATTATTATTCCTTTTTGCCAAAGCAGGACTTGATGTTCAAAGGATAATCTGTTTAAATTCCACAGCAACAACTAGACTTTGAGCTTTAACCTGTGACTTTGTTTACAACATCAGGTTTCTAGGGTAAAAGCCAGGCCACTCTGTTCTGCCTTTCCTTCATCCCTAGTATCTACTGGGATGTGAGGCCTTTTAATTTTTATATTCTCCAAATTCTCTATGACTCATCTGAGCTTTACTACTTCATTTTCACTAAAATCAGTAATCAAAGAATATAAATGCCAATGATAAGCCTCTAGAACCTAGTATTACTGAGATGTTGAAACCCTTTCACTTACATTGCTTCATTATTCTTAAGGCCTATCAAAGCAGGCAGTATTATAAATTAGGAAACGTGCTCTCAGAGTTTCTACAACATATTTAAACACTCAGACAATGGCAGATACAGTTCTCTGTCTGTCTCTCTCTCTGTCTCTCTGTCTCTTTCTTCTTTTGGTTGTTTTGAGACAGGGTCTTGCTATACAGTTCCTGCTATCCTTCAACTCACTTTGTAGTTCAAGCTGGCCTCGAACTCACACTGATCCTTCTGCTTTAGCCTCCTGACAGCGATTACAGGCATACAACATCACACCCAGCTGACAGATACAGTTTTCTACAAGCTAGGACTTTTCCCTATAGTTCCATGTTTATAAAAATAGTATTGTTTTTTCTTTTTTTCTTTTTTTTTTTTGCAGTACGGGAGATTGAACTCAGGACCCTGCACTTGCCAGGCAAGTGCTTATTCTACTGGGCTATCTCCCTGGCCCAAAAGTAGTATTTATAATAAAGTTTTAAAAAATACAATCTATTGTAAAACATCAAACTAAAGCCAGGTTCACGGCGGGGATCAGTACTCTGAGGATCATCTCCTTCAGTTTAATTTCCTGGCTTCAAAAAACTTTTGGCCCCAAGTAGGGCTGTAACTTGCTCAGCGAACAGGCTAGGATCCGGATCCTCTCGGGAATGCGGCCAATTTCAGGGATTACACCAGTGTCTCAGAATACGATCTCAAGTTGTAAACGATATAACACAAAAGGTCGAGGCACATAATTTCATTTTAAAACAAAAACTCCATTGCCTAGTGGAATGGCAAGTGTTACTAACACTGCTTCCAGTACTGCCCCCGAATTGGGACAGGCATGCAAGGGACAGGCAACAGCAAGGTGGATCTTTGCAAGAAATGTATTGAGACCTAGAAAAACTGGAACCATCCTAGAATGAAAAGACGGAAAGCCCAAAGTACAAGACTTCTGTCTGCTGGAGGTGGGGCTAGCGGCGTCGATACCTGTACTGTGTAATGGTTAGCGTAGTCTCGGACTGCGCCCCAAAGCCAGGCAAGTGCTGCTTTAGGTAGGCCTCCAGGACTCTGTGGTCAAACCTGTGCTGGGGCAGCACTTCAGCGGTGTCGGGCTCTCTCCGAGTGGCCTCGGTCCCCATGACTGCCGCTCCAAGAGCGGACACCACGCTCGCGAGCGCCCAGGTCCCTCTGGCGGCAGGACCTCGACCCTAGACCCGGACACGAGCGGGGGCGGGGCCAGTGCTAGCCAATCACAGACGCTCTCGGCGCCGTTGCTAAGTGACGCCCCTGAGTGACGCCCTCAGATTCGATTCCGCAGCGTTAGCCAGGATGCCGGAAACTCCCGGTGTGCTTTCCAATTCAGAATTTTCTCTTAGGATCCGAGACCTCATCTTTAAAGATTGCAAAGCCACAGTCGTCGCAAGGGGCAAAGAAGGCCGCAGAGGTTTCTTCATCCTCCAACCTGAGGGAATGTCGGGCGGAAGGCGATAGGGTCCGGCCTAGAAAAGAGGTCGTGCGGCCCGCGAGCCCGGGAAGAATAGATCCTAGTGTTCCTCCTAGCCGTTTGCTTAGGCGGGCAGTGTCGCCGTCCGCCTTCTCGGGACACCTCGGAGCCTGGTCTTCCTAGCGCCTGTTCTAGCGGATCCAGCAAGGAACGAAGCCAAGAGAAGCGTGTTGTGGGCAGGGGAGCTCTGACGGCGGCGCACCGGAAGCGGGACCTGGGGCGGGCCTGCGAGTGTGGCGGAGACGTGTCGCTCTGGGAGGCTCCGGCGCCGCTTCCTTAAGTGTCGGGGCTTGGAAAGCCGCGGCGGAGACCTCCTGTGTCCCGTCGCGGGCTCAGCCGAGCAGCGTGGGGCGGCGGCGGCGGCGGCAGGCTGGGCTGGGAGCGGGCGCCGGCGGGGTCCCAGCCATGGCCGAGTCTGTGGAGCGGCTGCAGCAGCGCGTGCGGGAGCTGGAGCGGGAGCTCGCCCAGGAGAGGAGTCGGCGGGTCCCGGGGGACGGCGGGGGCGGCCGGGTCCGCGTCGAGAAGATGAGCGCCGAGGTCGTGGATTCCAACCCCTACAGGTGCCCGGCGTCGCGAGTCGTCGGGGGGCGGGTGTGGAGGGGGTCCTGAGCGAGGCTCCCCCGCCTCGGCCACTCGGTCACCTACTGTGCTTTCCTTAGGCTGTGGATCTCGTTCCCAAATGGGCAAGACCACGCTTTAGTGCTAGTCCTAATGGTTTTTTGTTTTTTTTTTCTCTTAAAAAAATACAAACCCGAGTGAGTCATCCATACGGTGCGGCTCCGGTGCCTGCTGTCGGCGTGTATTCCAGCCTCCTTTGTTGACCCCTTGCTCCTCCTCGTCCACCTTGTTCTGCACAGCACTGATAGTAACATCAAATCAGATGTAGAGCCCGCTAAGTACAAATTGGGAGTTTCATGCCAGCTTTCCAGTATCTCAGATGGGGGGAGGGTGGCAGGGTCAACCCTAACCTGAGATTTCAAGATACTCCTTAACGTGTCAGACTTTACCAGGCCTTTCTTCAGAAGGCTTGTCAGCCCAGCAGGCAGAAGACAGTGCAACACAATGGATAGGGCCGTCGGCTCTAAAACCAGACTGATTTGATTTAAATCTCAGCTCTTAGTAGACAGGTATCTTGAACATTGCTGTGAACGATTCTGCTTCAGTTTCTTACCTATAAGGAGGGCGTCGTAATATTATCTACCATTGTCATGGTTATGAGAATTGAAAAAGCCACAGTAAAATTCTTAGAAAAATGATTGTACGTGGTTAAGCCTTGGACAAGACTTTATTGTTCATTGTGTTTGTTGGAAAGCAATTCTGAGCTTTCACTATGTGTGAAGCACTTAAGACGTGGTCTCCGCGCACCACAGCCTATGTCACTACTGTTATTTTACTCTATTTAATAGGTAAGAAAATTGAGGACCATAAAGCATCAGTTGCAGTGTTGGAGTGCACTGTTTTAACTGTATTGCCAAAAATAAGTGGATGATGTTCCAAAAGTTTTAAATTGAGTAAGCATATGCTGGTGTCTTTAATCAGAGCATGTGGAAACTATTCCAGTTTGATATCTTTAAACAGTTTTAAATTTTATAAATTTGAAGTGAAGACTTTGAAATTCTTGCTCCAAGTTGAAATACAAAGGACATTGTAATAATAAACAAAAATTTAAGAACTCAAGTCTAAACTACTCATTTCCACTGTTTGTCTTTTTAAAAAATTTCCACATGGGGGGCTGGTGAGATGGCTCAGTGGTCTAAAACACCTACTTAGAACAAGCTTAGCAAAGCACATGGACCGCTGTTCAATCCCCCAGCAGGACATGCCAGCCAGCCCCGCCCCCAGGCGGGCTGAGCTGGCCACACACACACACACACACACACACACACAAATAAATAAATTAAATAAATAAATTTTTAAAAAAAATTTCCACATGGGAGACACCAACTGATACCTGTTTGCTAGTATGTGAAAATTTAGCTTATCTTTTAAAATTGTTACTCATCTAGCCTAAACATTTGTTGAGCACCTCTTTATCTGTAGCCATCCTTAATGAGTATTTCTTGTGCACAAACACCATGGATGCAAAATACACAAAGCTTCCTATTGTGCAGTTACAATAAAGGTGGCAAGAATTATGATAGGGAAAGTACAGGTAACCGGAAAATAATGGCTTTGAGGCTGCGGAGATAGCTCAGCGGCATAAGTGCCTACCTGGTAAGCACAAGGTCCTGAGTTTGATCCCCAGTACCACAGAAAGAGAGAGAGAGAGAGAGAGAGAGAGAGAGAGAGAGAGAGAGGCTCTGTATGTCCTAACACCATTTAATTGCATCAAAGGATACAAAAGAAGTAAATTTCCTGACCCTTAAAGTCTTTTTGCTTAAATTGATAGACTAAGTGAATGTGGAATACTAAAAACAAATAACTGAATTATGTGATATAGAATAGCATGTAGAGAAACTGGGGAGAGCCAAGTACAGGTTTTGAGATCAGACCCTGGGTTCAAACCCTACTCAGAAACATAGCTCTGAATATTGTTTGCCAGTTAGCTGGGCTTGGGCAATAAAGTAACCTGAGTCTTGCCCCCTAATTTTTAAAGGGAGCTCCAGCACATTCTTCTCAGAGTTATTTGTAAAGATTAAAGGGGACATCAAGGTGAAGATGGATCACAGGAATTTTACTATCACCCAGCTTCACTAAAGTGACAATAAAGGAACTTTTTAAAATAGGAATAATCCCCATTAAAAACAACAGGTTTCTGTTACTATTTAGGAGAAGAAGGCCTGATTCCTATTTTTTTCTCTCTATTTTTGAAGATTATAGTGACAATCATTTTTTTTCTTTGTAATCATGTACATTTAATTGTGTAGAAAATTACAGGGCAATTGAACAGATAGTAAAATGAACATTTTATCCAACACAAACATATACTTTTCCCTGTATTGACATCTTTTATTAATATTTTATCTTTTTTTTTCAAAGTTTTATTGATAAACAGATAGCAATGTGACAGTTTCAAATCAAATCGGAAGTACAGTTTCAACAAATAATACACTGCATATATTCTTAGTGGTTAATTGCTGTACAAGATGCGGACTTGTGATCCTATTTACAAACACCATTAGAACAAATCATTCTATTCATTAAGAGAATGCAACTATATATCTATCCCAACCTCTTTGAATACACAGATACAAAATGGACATTCATCGGTATACCCCATTTTTCTAAGTTCCGCTATTGAATATTATAGGTGTGTAAACTCAGCAAAATATTCTAAGAGTCCAGTAGCCCATAATAGCATTGGGTCTTCTGTTTAACTGGCAATGTCAGAAATTATTGACCTGAGTCCCCCACAGCTCAACTTAACAGCATGGCTTTATTTCTTATATTTCGACTTCATACTTTTCTACTGGATGGTTAAGACCAAGGTAAAGCAGGACCTATGCAACAAGAGTTGTAGCTTTTTGGTCTGAGAAGGTCAGTGAAATGCCCTCAGGATTTGTCCTGAGATCCTGTACCTCAGATTGTAGAACCTTTATCAGTGCAGCCATGTGGATGAGTCACAGCCATTGCTTGGCCAATGTGCTCTCTGTGAAAGCCTGAGAGAGTGTCTTCTCTCCATGTGACTCTCCTTAGGCCCACTCTACGTCATCGATCACTTTCCTCTTTGGCCCCATAATCTTCTTGATCAGAAAATTTGGGACACTACCGAGGTACAGTGACAATCATTTTGGAAACTAGAAAAAGGATGAAGGAAGCAAGGCCGGCTTAACAGATTCTAAGAAGTTGAATCTTACAATCTGTTTCCCAACTTACGTTACAAAATCCTCCCAAGACTTGAGAATAGGCACAGATACTTCTAAAAAGGCTTCAATTAGGGCTGAAAACATTCTGGTGGAAAGCCTTAAGACAACAAATAGGGCTCAAGGGCCCCTATTCCACTGCGGGTGGCTGAGCAAATACCCTTGCTTACTAGGACAGAAGATTAGAGATTTATTTATTTTAATTTAAAAAAATATTTTATTTTGGGGCCAGGAAGATGGCTCAGTAGAATAAGCGCTTCCCCGGCAAGTGCACAGGGCTGAGTTCAGTCCCCAGTTCTGAAAAAAAAAAATTTTTTTTTTGGTGCAGGGTCTTTCTATGCAGTGACACTTGTAGTGACCCTCCTGTGTCAGCCTCTCCAGTGCTGGGATTACAGGTGTTTGCCACCACATCCAGTTTCAGTGGCTGGCATGAGGCGCCCAGGGTTCTAGGGCTGGTATGGCGTGCAGTACCAGGGATCAAACCTGGTCCTGATGCTTGCCACGCAGGCGCTTAGACTGCCAAGCTAGAGATTTATTTATTGAAGGAGAATGACAGAATTTTTATCAATAACTGAGCTATATGATATAAGAAAGCATGTGATGAATATAAGTGAAGAAAATTTGTAGTCTAATTATGAAGGGAGATCCCAGGAACAGGGCTGTATATACAGTAGGTTAAGACGTTATATTAGATTCTCGGAGACCCATTCTTTTTTTTTTTTTTTTTTTTGCGGAACCAGGGATTGAACTCAGACCCTTGCACTTGCTAGGGAAGTGCTTATTCCACTGAGCCATCTCCTCAGCCCCAACCCATTCATTTTTAAGAAGATAAAGATTGAGCTGGACATGTTATGCCAGCACTCTGGGAGGCCAGAGCTTACAGTAAGGTCTCAATCCTAAGGGATTGAGTGAGACCCTGTCTTTGAAAAAATACAAAAAGGGGGGGGGGCTAGTGATAAAGCTTAGTGGGAAGGCCCTAGGGTCTGTCCCCAGTCCCCACCCCAAGCACACACAAAGACAACAGTGAGAGAAGAACTCATTCATATGACTACCTAAAGGGATTTCAGAGAACCAGGTGGAGTCGGGATTTAGTATGTAAAAATACATAGGAAGTGAAGCATAAGGAAAAACATTTATCTTGAAGAATGGAGTTTGTAGGTGGAAGAAAAGGCTTTAAAATACTGGATGCTCAGTTATCAACGATAATATTTAACCAAAGTTGTCATAAAATAGTATCAAGCTGATGGGATAGGGAAGTGTATGCGTAGTGAAGATGAGTGTAAGAGTAACATCTTCAGCTAATGCACCACACTGAAAAGAATAATGTTAGTGTATAGTTTAGAGATACGATGATGAGAGAGCTGAAAGTGAGGGGAGACGGACTGGAACCAGAGTCCTGAATTTCCTAACAAGCTAGTGGATCTGTTTGACTCCTTAAAGTGCACACAAATGAAAATTACACATATGTGTGTAGATTTAAACTATACATGTGTATCGAACTTTAAGACTTAAGGTAAGAGAACAAATTAGGCAGTAATTAGCTGAAGTGCCTCTGAGAGTCCTTAGTACACAGTACAGGCTTATGAAAAGCGGACATTATCTGTTACGCGCAGAGGGAGCAAGTAAATGGAATTCTAGTTGTGCGCTCATTCTGATGATGGAGATTGAGCATTAAGCGTGATGGGTGTATCTATACAAACAAAGGATGGGAAAGATTGTTTAAATTTTCCTTTGACCCTTAGCACTTAAGTCAGTACACATGGATCTCAGTTGCATGTTAGAACACAGAAACTTTTTAAAACATACATTGTTTCCCATGCCACACTTAAGAGACTACATAACCATCTATTTTTAAAGCTATCCAGAAATTTCGTTCCATCTGATAAAAGCGAGTTAAAAGATTCTTTCTTTTAAAGGAGGACTACAGGTAGAGTTTTGTCTATTTTTTGTGATGACCTATGTTTATATCACTATTGACTAAAAGACTAAGTATTAAAACTTTTTTTTGTTTATTTTAAGCCGACTGATGGCATTGAAACGAATGGGAATTGTAAGCGACTATGAGGTATGATAAAACTATCTACATTTTTGAAGATGATTTCAATAAATGAAAATAATTTCTGGTGACAGATTTTATCAAGAGTTATTAATCAATACGTATGTAAATTTGTTTTACAGAAAATCCGTACCTTTGCTGTAGCAATAGTAGGTGTTGGAGGAGTTGGTAGTGTGACCGCTGAAATGCTGACAAGATGTGGCATTGGTAAGGTAAAAATATTTCTCTTTGTCTATGATATAGAGAATTCACCCCTGGAGCAAATCAGGTACAAATTAGGAGCTTTTCCTCCTTAATGCAAATGGTCTATTGATTTATGGTATATATGCAAATTGTTTTCTCACCCAAAAAGTTAAGACATCTCTTTTTTCCAATGAAAGCTGATACTATTGCTAAACAAGGATTGTATTCAGGACCTTTTTTATTTGGGGTAATAAACAATTTAAACTTAGTTCTCTTAGCTGTACAATCTTAGAAAAGAAGACAGTTAAATTGATAGTCTAAAATAGGAAAAGCAATTGTGGGCAAAAAAAAGCAAGGCAGGGACATTACAATTCCTCACTTGAAATTATACTACAAAGCTGCTGAGATAAAAACAGCATGGTACTGACAAAAAGCAAAAACCCCACAAACCCAGATCTGAGAATCTATAGACCATGACCATTAGAAGATGCAGAAACAACTTCAAACACGCCCAGTCACCACATCTCTGACAAAGGGGCCAACACTTTCACTGGAATAAAGATAGCCTCTTTAATAAAGGTGCTGGAAAAACTGGTTTTCCACATGCTGAAGATTTAAACTAGGCCCATTCTCGCAACGTATACTAAACTATAATTGAAATGGATCAAAGGTCCAAATATCTAAGTATTAAAACAGAAACTCTAAATCTTCTATAAGATCTATCTTATAGATAGATAGAACTCTTGAATGCATAGGTGTAGGCAAAGACTTTATGAGCAAGGCTCCAGTTGCACAGGAAATAGCATAAGCAAACAACAGCTGGGATCTAGCTCATCTTATTAAAAAGTGCTTGTACAGCAAAAGAAATCAATAACAGTAAAAAGAGAACCCACAGAGTGGAAAAAAATTTTACAGCTGTTCTTCAGACACAGGACTGATACCTAGAACATATAAAGATCTCAAAAAAAAAAAGAAAGAAAAAAAAATCAGGCACCCCCACATTTGAAGATCCAATCCAAAAATGGATATCTGAAATAAATAGACACTGCTAGGATGAAGAAGTAAGAAATGGCAAATAAATATATGAAAAATGATCAACATCCCTGGTCATTCAAAAGATGCAAATTAAGACAATCCTGAGAATCCATCTCACTCCAGAAAGAATGGCTATTATCAAGAAATCAACCAATAACAAATGCTGGCAGTGCTGTGGGGAAAAAGAAACCCCTTTGCACTGCTAGTGGAAGTGTAGAATGGTGCGACTACTGTGGAAATCAGTGTGGAGATTTCTCAAAAACTAAAGCTAGAAGTTCCATTTGACCCAGCAGCTGTTCCTCTTGTTACGATCTTTCACTGGAATAAAGATAGCCTCTTTAATAAAGGTGCTGGAAAAACTGGTTTTCCACATGCTGAAGATTTAAATGCATCCTATCATAGCAATATATGTATACTCATGTTTATAGCATAGGTGTAGGCAAAGAGTTTATGAACAAGGCTCCAGTTGCATAGGAAATAGCATAAGCAAACAGCAACTGGGAGTGCAGTTTTTAATAGCTAAATCTTGGAAGCAACTCAAATGCCTATTAACTGATGAATGGATAAAGATGTGTGTTTTTATACAATGGAGTATTACTCTACCGTAAAGAAGGATAAACTTGAGACATTTCTCGGTAAAGGGATCACCTTGAAACCATACTCTTAAGTGAAATAAATCAGAGACATGTGTTCCAATATTACATAGTTTCTCTGGTGTGAGAAACCAGTAGGGTAAATAGGGACCAAAATGTATAATAGATATGGTAAAAAAGGACAAAAAAAATGTTAAAATGTGAAGGGAAACTATGAAGGGAGGAGGAAGAGGGAGGAAGGAAGGAAGGGTAAAGGAAAAATGGAAACAGTTTTTGGAGGGGAAGTAGGTTGTAGAGAGGGGAGGGAAGTGGGAAAAAAGAATTGATATATCATGTACAGGTACAAATTCCCTATGACGACTAATATATTTCATACTATATATATATATGATAGTACCAATAAAAGTAATTTAAAAATGATAAAAGTACGTGAGTACAACACTAAAACATCTAATGTTGTATTAGATACCTAATTATCAAAAACATGTTGTATTGAATCACCTGATTACCACATGTACTGATCTTACTTTTGAACTTACACTACAGAATGGTCCAAACGGTCTAGATTTCTTACCCATGCATTTTTTTGGGCAAAATAATATATGAAATATGTAAAACACTTGTACTAAGTCCATATGCACTTTTAGATACATTGTCTGCACTGGATTACAATATTGTTTTTTTAATCTCTTTCCTGTTAACTTTTATCGTATACTTTACATATTTAGAGTTTTTCATATGGGAGAAACCATGTGATATTCAAGCTCATGTATCTGGATTACTTCACTTAGTATTATGGTGTATCTGTTTGTCCTACAAATGACCCATTTATCCTTTTTATGGCAAAGTAGTACGCCATTGTGAATAAAGACCACTTTTTAAACCATTCATCTGTTGATGGACACATAGACTGTTCACAAGAGTTAGCTATGGCTAGTTGTGCTACTCTAGACATGGGTATTCACACATCACTGTGGCATGATGTCTTTAACTCTTGGAAGATGCCTAGAAGGGAGATAGCTGGGTCGTGTGGAATTCCTACTTGTAGGTTTTTAGGAATCTTCATATTGATTTCCATAGTGGTTGTATAAATTTACAGTCCCACCTACAGTAATGGAGAAAGGTTCCTTTCTCCCCACAGCCTCCCCAGCATTTGTTACTGGTTGATTTCTTGATGGTAGGCGTTCTTTCTGGAGTGAGGTAGAGTTTCATTGTTGTTTTAATTTATGTCTGTTGAATGACCAATGATATTGAACATGTTTTTCATGTATTTATTGGCTGTTTATAGTTCTTCATCTGAGAAGTATCTATTCATTTCAGATGTGGGGCTTTAAATTAGGGGCATCATCTGGGCCTGGGGAGATAGCTCAGTAGAATAAGTAGAATAAGTGCTTTGACTGGCAAGCACAGGGTCCTGAGTTCAATCCCCAGTACCGCAAAAAAAAAAAAAAAAAAAAAAAAAAAAAATTAGGGGAGTGCAATTTTTTTGAATTCTTTATGTCTTCTATTAGTCATTTGAGGAACAGCTAGCAAAATTAGTTTACCATTATGCACATTGTCTCTTCATTCTATTAGTGATGTTCTTTGCTGTGCATTTTTTATTATTTATTTATTTTTGGGACAAAGTCTCACTATACAGTTCAGTCTGAATTCACTCTGTAGCCCAGGCTGGCCTTGAACTCAGAACAGTCCTCCTGCCTCAGCCTCCCAGTGCTGGGATTACAGACATACACCTCCATGCCTAGCTCACTGTTTGTTTGTTTGTTTTTTCACTTCTTTTTTAAATTGATTTGGATTATGAGTAGGAAGAAGGAGTAACCTTATACCTTCTTCAGTTTTAGATTTATAAAATCAAAGTCTATGATGTTAGATAAAAGTGGTTTCATAGATAAGCTTTTCACAATTGTATGTCTTAATTTGTCATTTTGATAAAGCACACATTTTTTTCCATGTAGCTTATGGATGCTTTTTAGTATGTAGGTCGCCCAAACTCTTACAGTGATGTCAAAATTGTCATTCATCAGTATAAAAAATAATAACACTAAGATATAAAAATTCTTTATTAAAACGTTGATATCATTCAGGAGGTTTCCAAAGGCAGATGAAAAATTGCATAGACCTGACTTTAGTACCTAGAAGTTTTAGATGATGCTGATGACATTCAGGGTACTAAACTTTGAAACCCGTTGGACTTTTGTTGCTCTGAGTCAGATCCTCAAAGTAACATTAGCCAAATCTGCAGTTTAACAAGCTAGTTATATTAAAGTTGGGGAAGTACTTTTGCCCTTCAAACAGCTCCAAGTGATACTGATTCTCCTCAGCCAGACCATATTTTGAGCAGGGTCTGGAATAGTAATTGTCGATTATTGCTGTAATTAGATTTAACTGGGAAGTATAAAGCAATTCCGGTGTCCAGACTGCTCTCATTGATAGCAAACATCAGTCTCTGGTGTTGAAGCAGGTTTGGGTAGTGCATGTCTGTGAGCCCAGCACTTGGGAGGCTGAGGCAGGAGGATCGCCAAGAATTTGAGGCAAGCCTGAGCTACATAGCAAGACCCTATCTCAAAAAAAAAAAAAAAAAGGAAAAAAGAAAGAAAAGTCTGCGATTGAGATGCAAATATTTGCACTTTTAATAACTCTAAGTGACCCTAGTGTGTAATTAGGTTTGTAAACTAAATTTATTTATTTATTTATTTATTTATTTATTTATTTTTTATGAGCAGAATATATTTATTGAGGGAAAGAAAGCTCCTGTCTGAGAAAAGGACAGGAGGGGGGCCCGAGCAGGTTTTCCCCAGGTTAACTAAAAATCTTAAAAAGTGAGTTTCAGGAACTCTTTAATGTATAAAACAGATTAACAAGAAATTGATGAATAGGAAAGTAGAGTAAGGGAGAGGAAGAGCCGATGTCAGATCTCAGAAAACATCTGGAGCAACCTGAATCACCACATCTAGATCGCTGCTTTTGTTTTACTGAAAAAAAATACCGGCCTAAAATATCGAAGTAATCAAAGCTAGTGGGTAATATTTAAAACACACACTTTCTGTTTCCAAATTTCGATTTCTTGCAACTTACTCATGAATAGGCAGTGAGGCAGAAACTTAAATACTTGGCCTCACCTGTGAAGTATTTGTTGAATGAGCTTAAGTAAACTGTGTTTTGGAGTCTTTAAGATTAAAATGTTATAGAGGGCATAAGTGATATATTTTCTAATAAGATATTAAAGAGTTCTCTGTTGTTATGCACAATGTTAATTTTTTAAAAGTTTGTACATTGAATAAAATCTCATTTTAATTATTAAATTTAAGTATGGAGAATTATATTAGAGACTCACAGAATTTTTGATTGATTGGGAAGGGATCTTGGAAATCCTTGCCATTAATGTGTTCTTACAGATAAGAAAGGGGGTCTTCTGACCATTTGAAATGGTGTATGTGATGAACACTGTATTTATTTATTTATTTATTTATTTATCTATTTATTTATTTTTGGCGGAAGCAGGGATTGAACTCAGGCCCTTGCACTTGCCAGGCAAGCACTGAACACTGTTTAAAGTAGGCCTCAAAATACAGTGGGAGACAATGAACCTGTTGGAACAGTTATTCCATTCTCTGTGGAATAATATTTTTGCCTAGATATGGGCATATATTACATTGTACAAAATGAGTCAAATTGTACTCCAGTTTTATCTTACAGTTTTGTCATTGTTTTTTTTTTTTTTTTTAACCTGTATAGGGTCTTTTGCTTAAAGATTTCATTTATCCAAGGGGTGTTTTTTTTTTCCCTTAGAAAAAAATGGGACTGAAATAGGATTTTGGTACAGTTGTTAAAAATTAAGGGGATGGGGAGATAGCTCAGTAGAATAAGCACTTGCCTGGCAAACGCAGGGGCCTGAGTTCAATCCCCGGTTCCACAAAATAATAGCAATAATAATTTAAAAATAAAAATTGGAATGAAACCATTGAAAAAATTAAAAAAAAATTGGAATGAAATGATTGAACATTAGTTTCTCAGTGAATCCATTTAGAGAGCCAGTGCAGCATTGTGGTTAGGGCACAGATGCTGGATTGAGTTCCTGAATTTAAGTCCAGTTTTTACTCCATATTAGCTTAGTGATCTTTGGGCCTTTAATGCCATAGATTCCTCATCTCTGAGATGAGAATAATAGTCCTTATGTGTTTTCCTCAAATGCACATTCAGTGAATTAATATATGGAATCAAGTACCTTAGAGTTAGCTAATGTTATGATCAAACTAATGTACTTATTTATGATTAGTTATTGTTAGTTTTTTGGTGTGTTTTTCACTGATATGCCTCTATTTTTATTTTAGTTGCTACTTTTTGATTACGACAAGGTAGAACTGGCCAATATGAACAGACTTTTCTTCCAGCCTCATCAAGCAGGATTAAGTAAAGTTCAAGCAGCAGAGCATACTTTGAGGTAAACAGAATAGACCATAGTCAATGAAATCTTATTTTGTATCTATAGTGTTGAATTAACCTAACATATAGTGGACTTTAATTCTTCTCTATAAAAGTGCAAGTTTCAGTTGTGCAAAAACTCCTCTTACCTCTTGGACATGGGTTGCACTTTTTTGTGTATAGGGGTGTGTAGCACCTATTCTAGCCTTTGAGGCCATGTGATCAGTGTTTCTGTTGCTTAACTGTGAGATTGTGGTGTGATCACAGCCATAGATGACACAGAAACGGAAGTGCAGATCTTCACTCAAATGAAGTTTTATTTTTGGATTCTGAAACTTGAATTTCACTTTATTTTCATATCATGAAATAGTCTTTTGAACTTTTTTTTCACAACTGGTACAAAACATTCTTAGCTCAAAGGCTGTACAAAGACAAGTAGCTGGCCAGATGTGGCCCAAGATTTCATAGCGTGCCGGCTCCTACTCAGTTCAGTGCAAGTGGATTTGGAGGCTCAGCATCTGTGTACAGATTGGGCAGGAAACAAAGAAGGTCTTTTGTCAGGCTGAACAATAGCCAGAAGCAGTAAAGGCTAAATTCCTAGCACGTACATTAATCCAGGAAAATTTTTAGAATCTTTATGACACTCTATACCTTTTTAAACCTAGCCTTTGAAATGGAACAAAAGAGGTAAAAGAGGGTTTGGGATTTTCCTGGAATGGCTTGAATTCCACTTGTCTAAAGTATGTTACATAATTCTGAGTATATTGAATGCTTTCCTTTCTGCTTTTTCTTTCTTACTATTCTTACTGCTAGCAGCTTTATAATCGTTTCCTTTTTCACTCTTAGGAACATTAATCCTGATGTTCTTTTTGAAGTATACAACTATAATGTAACCACAGTGGAAAACTTTCAACATTTCATGGATAGAATAAGGTAAAATATTTACTTACAAATATTTTGTAGAATGTGCAGTTCAGCTAAATAAGTATTAAAGAACTACTAAGTGGATTTGTAGATTAACATAAATTTTTAAGTTTTTCTTTCTTTCTTCCTTTTTTGTTTTGGTGGTGCCAGGAATTGAACTCAGGACCTTGCTCTTGCCAGGCAAGCACTTATTCTATCTCTACTTCCACAGCCCTAAATTTTTCAGTTTTTAAAATAGCAATTTAAAAAAATAAATAATGGGCCGGGGAGATGACTCAGTAAAATAAGCGCTTCCCTGGCAAGCGCAAGGGCCTGAGTTCAATCCCTGGTTCTGCCAATAAATAAATAAGTAAATAAATAAACAGCAATTTTTATGTCTTAGACACTCAGTTTAAAAAAAAAACAAAACAGGGCTGGTGAGATTGCTCAGTGGTCTAAAGCACCTACTTGGAACAAGCTTAGCAAATGCACAGGGACCGCGGTTCAATCCCCCAGCACCACATGCCAGCCAGCCCCGCTCCCAGTGGGCTGAGCTGGCCACACAC